TTCTCTCTAATCAAGAAAGAAATTTTATTAGTAAAATCATTTGCATTCTATGTGAAAAGTTTCTTATTAAATATAAGTTCTCTTTATTATACTATTTACAGACAAATAAAATGGTTAAACATCTTAATTAGACCTTATGTAAATTATTTACTAAAATAAAAAAAAATAATAACTAGGATTTATGTATACTTGCTGTACTGCTTGCTTATTGAACAAAAAGGCATGCTACAACCAGATATACATCCTTTTAGCTTGTATACAGATGACAAGCTGTTTTTCTAATTAAAGCTTTATTATCTGTTGAACTTTTTGAAGAAACAGAATATAACTTACAAGATAGCATATTGCAACAAGCATTTGAGCTTATTGACAAGCTATCTAAATTGCAAAACAATGCAAAAGAAAAGATCAATAAATTGCAACAGAAACAGAAAGAATGCTTTAATGCCAAAATTTATTATAAAACATTCAAAATAAATAACAAAGTATAGATAATTAAAAAAGATATAGAACATTCTTAATTAGCTAAATTTAAAAAGAAAAGAACTAAACCTTTTATTATTCAAGAAAAATTAAATAATGATGCTTATAAACTTTATAACAACAAAGAAAAAACATTATAAAAATATTATAATAGTAATTGTCTTGCTAAATATTATGAAAAACAAACTTGGGAACCTTTTATTTTTATCAAATAACTAAAATTTCCTAAAAGAAATTTCCAAAACTGAAGAAAAAAACAATAATATTATACAAATTTTTTAATATTACAATTTATTTGAAGATTGTAATACTTGAAAATTTATATAAATACTCAAATTATACAAATTTTCCTAAAAATAGAATTTTTAAAACTACAACCAAAAACAGTAATTACTTTAAACATTTTTTTTCAAATCTGAAAACAGGACCTTGTATCTTAAAATCATTTAGACATATTATCTTAAAATATTGTTTTTTTGAATATAAAGAACTATTGACTTAAACCCTATAATAGAAGCCTTTGTAGAATTCAATATTGATGAATTTCTACAACTAGAAGAAATACAACCTTTTCTAATTAAAGCTTCACTTAATAAAATAATTACTGAGTTAGAAAATAATAATACTAACTATCTAACTTAAATAATAAATAATTTGAAACAGACATCAGTATCAACAACTTGAAGTATAACTAATCTTTTTTCTAAAAGAACATGAAAAGAACAAGTTAATTAAATTTTAAAGTTCTTATTCATTTCTGAATATACTCAACATAACCTTAACAAGAAAATTAAAGCTTACTACTATTTGGGCCAAATAATCTTTAAGTTCAACAATCCTTCTGAGATTAAAGACCTTATCCAGAATGTTCAAATAGCAAGAAGAGCAAAAGATACTTAGAAAGGTGCTCTTAAAATATATGAAATTCTTAAATTATAGCTAAGAGAAATAACTCTACAGTTAAAGTATATAATTGCAATACATATTATTAAGTTACTGAATAATGAGTACACCCAACTTCTTGAATTAATTAGAATATAGAATTTACAAAGTAAATTTTTAAAAAGCACATAAATGTTATAGAACAAATTATTATTATTTTATTATTATTAGTTATTATTATTATTTTGTTATTATTATTATTTAGTATTAGTTATTTTATTATTGTATTATTATTAGTAGTTACTAAAACTTTCTGGTTATTTAGTAATTGCTTAGTCACTTAGTCACTTAGTCACTTAGCCACTTAGCTGCTTAACTACTTAGTTACTTAGTAATTAGTCACTTAGTAATTATTAGTTATTAGTTACTAGAACTTTCTAGTTACTTAGTAATTGCTTAGTTGCTTAGTTACTTAGTCACTTAATGCTTAGTCACTTAGTTGCTTAATTGCTTGGCCATTTAGCTACTTAGCTTACAGATATATAAATCCTGCTAAATTCTTCAAGTCCAATTAAGCAACAAATACACTTTTTTTCTTTACTATTGTAAACACATCTTAGAATTTTTTAGAACCAGAAATCTAAAGATAGCTCTTCTTGTTATTATTTTAATAAACAGCTTTTGATTATAAACTATATTAATACTTTCTTTTTAGAATAATTCTTACAGACAAGGTTTATCTTTTCTTAGTGAAATAAAATAAAGTTATTAGTATTACATTACTTTTCTAAACTGTCTCAAAGAAGAATATAGTTTTTTGACATTGTCTAACAGAAGCTATACTTCTCTCTTAGACACCATATATACTTATAAGGAATTTTTGTACTATGTCATCATTATAGCATGAAAATTAAAAAGACTTTTACCTATAACAATACAATATTTGTTACAAGTTAAATTGTATTTGAAGTATTTATTTTTTGATTTATTTAAAAATTGATCTAATCTTTTTACAAAATTCTATATTAGTAATTTTTTTTAAACATCAAACTAATGAATAAATTTTAGTAATATGTTTCAATTTTAATTTTAAAAATATTGAAACCTTGTATCAAGTAATTGTATTTGTCTAATTAATATTTGATTTTTTTTATAAAATTTTTTATAATACTTTTTTAAGTTTAAATTAGAATCTTGTAAAGATTTATAATCTAAATTATGTTTATAAAAACATTTATCAAAATAATTATACACCTTTTATTACAAATATAAAAAAATTATTTTATTTAATTTGAATCTTTTGGATATCATATTATAGAAATGAGACTATTTACTAAAAACAACTCTTTATCAGATAATTCTTATATAATTAATATTAGATTTACACTAGTTGAAACTAGAAATTTGACTAGGTCAAATTACAATAACATTCAGCAAAAAATCGACTAATTTTTTTAAAATTTGATCAATAAAAATTTAGCCATACTGAATTCTATATTAATTTGATCTAACTTAATCAAAAATTCAGTACTCAAATTTTAACAAAATTTGACTATTCTGACTTTTACATTAATTCAACTTAAATTTAGGCAAAAATTCAAAGTTTGAATTTTAATAAAATTTAACTATTTTGATTTTTACATTAATTCAACCTATACATACTCGTCATAATTTTACATATTCTTGTGTTTGCAGTCAACCTGACCAACTCCATTTGCATACTGGAATCTGTCCACTTGTTGGATGGGCCTTTAGAAAAATTAGTACTTGGGCTATGCTGTGGGTCAAGTATCACACAACTTCTAACTTTATTTTAACTATAAATGACATTATCTAGGTGAGTTTTTGACCACTCTAGTAGGTTTAGGTCACAGATAAATTAGATTTATTTAATTGTCTGAGCTTTTATTCTTGCATGTAATTTTCACTTTATTTGTACTAGTACAAATAGTAGAAATGTATATATTACACATATGTTACTATTTTATAAATTACTTAATAAAGATATAAGCAAGACTTCACCTTAAAAAAAAAAAAAATAAAATAAATAACTAAATGTACTCTTGTCCAATATATTTACATAATTGTTACCATCTTTGTAAACATCTTATAAATAAAAAAAATGATACCTATTTTTTGCCAACCTTTTTAAAAACATTACAACAATATGATTATTCACTACTTATTTTCAACAATGATTAAATACCAATAATTAATCCAATTAACAATCTTTAGACTAGGCTTCATATAATAAATACAGATTACAATTCTGTTGAAACTGGTTCTAGCTTGATAATTTTGTAAGATAAGTTAGTAGTAAATCATAATATAATGAAACAAAAAGAAAAATACACTTACTACAAAAAAAAATTTAATGCTGCATTAGAACTATACTAGCAAGAGATGAATAATGATAACTTTATAAAAAATTTTGATGCATTAATGACACCATTATTAAAAGAGATTGAAGAATGTGAAGCAGCATTACAAGCTCATAAACAGCAAGCTACCTAGAAATTCAAAGGAAAACTTGCTATTTGGTTACATAAGTTAAAGGCCTGGCTTATAAAAAAAATTAAAGTTATAATATAATTGGTTTTACAATGGTAAAAATTCGAATAACATTTTCCTTATTCAGTTAGATCAAAAACCAATTACAATTCATACAGCGAAGCATATGTAGAAATGAGCATTTTGCATAAGTTTCAAATTTTTGATGTAAGTTATGTATAAGTTATAATATGTATCGTAGTATAAGTTTGCGAAATCGTGTAAGTTATTATGTAAGTTACAATGTAACTTACAAAATTGGCCCATCCCTCAGTATATGTCGAGTTTGTACCTAAAAAAAGATATTTATTAACGTTAAATGGTTGTTTAGTAATAATGTACATACTAATTAAATAAATTATATAAGCGATGTTTTTTTTTATCTCCAATAAAATAACCCACTGAATTTAAACATTTAGAAAGCCTGCTTTGTTCGCAAAATAATATTATTTATAAGGACAATCTGTTATAAAGATCAATTATATATTTAATTATTAAAACTGTTTTTAACTGTAACACCAAAGTATTATTTGTTTGACATGTAATTTTTCGTTCTAGAAAAAGAATAGAGTAAAATGGGTAACTTGTCATATGTGTAAAAAAAAACTAAATTTAAAAACTACTTCTAAGTTTTACAACTACAGTCTACCCTCGTTTATATCAACCCATTTGGATTGGTTTTAAATTATGTTGATAGTGATATTAACAAGAAATTATATTAAAGTTGATATATATGAGGGAATTTTGATATATAACAATTTATAAAAATTTGATTTGTGGCTTAGGTTGATATTAACGGGGGTCGACTGTAATTAATTTTTCACTTTACAAACTGTAACGATCGAAAAAAACTTTATTGTAATCGATCATCAGACATGTGTAATAAAATTAACTGTGAATCTAATTGGATAGAATCGGATGATCATCGCCACGTGACCCGAATTTTCTTCGCCATGGCTAGGGTACTAGTTATAAATTGATTTACGTCATCCATTCAGACATTTACGTCAGCCAATCAGACGAAGGTATCGAAATCTTTAACGTTAATTCCAAATTTTTCTCTAAACTACTGAAACATTGGAGATATGGAAGGACATTTAAGTTCTAGCATCCCTTCAAGCTCAGTGGCAGAAGAACACGAAACCTCACCTATGCAAAAGAGTATACACTCCGAACATTCGGATGATTCAGAACAGTATATAGATGTACCACATTCAGAAGAAGACAGTGATTGCATGGTGTCTTCGTTTAACTCTGGCTCCGAAAAATCTTTAAACTTGAGCGGTACACTAATTAACCCGGAAGATTATACTATCTCGTCAGAAGATGATAGTAGTGTTAATTCAGTGCATATGGGAGATACTACGGATTCATATGAATTTCCAGAAATAATATTAAATGATGATGTTCCTATCGTACCCGGGCCTGGAGAGAATCGAGAACAAATCCTCGCACCTTTGATTAGTGATGAAAATAGTGAACCGGAAGATGAAAACAGAATTTTTTCGACACCAATCCTTGCGACAACCCCAGAAATTCGACCACCAAGTCCAGCAATTTCCGAAATTACTACTCATTCTAATGCATCAGAAAAGAGAAAACGGACGTTACCACCTAATATTTCAGACATTTTGCTTGGACAAAATCGGTATAATAATTTTCAATGGGAAGATGTCAGTTCACGTGTGCTTGTAAGAAGATTTATTCATCAGGAAATTTTAGTACCATTTTTCCAAGGTTTCAGTTGGGCAATTGGAATGCATCTTTATCGTTATCTACGATACGGGTTTTCGTTGAGAAGTTTATGGCGAAATTTTTATACAGGAATTACAGGAAATAACACGAACGTTCAGAGATGATAATAGTATTTAGGTTAATATGGTTTTTGAATCTTTAAATAAATGTTTAAAATTGTTATCAGAGCCTCACTTAAGGTTAATAAATATGGACACATCCAATAGCTCATTTATTCGATCGATGCAAATTTTTAAAGGACTTGGTTGATCCAATTTGGGGATTTTAAAGGTTTGTCCAGTCGAACCTATTTTGTATTGAATTTAAATTACAATAATATATGTATATATATTTATTTATCTATTTATTATTAAAGTATATATAACTTTGATAAGACTAATCATCCTGTGTATTAATGTAAAAGATTAAACTATTTGCATTATATTAACAAGAATAAAAGAATCGTCTACTTTTTAACTATCGACTATGAACGACTATTGTTTACCTTCAAATTTATATATGTAGAACTTTAACACCTGCTTCGTAGCATTTTTCCTTCTTGTCTCTTGTGATTTTATAAATTCTACTCAGTATGATGGATTGGTCCCAAATCGGTCTTGTCAGTCCTAAGCATATTGCAAGATTTTGGACCGACGGGACCGATCCATCCCTACTATCAAGGATTAATCTTTTATCGTTATTTAAAAGTTTTTCATTCCTATTTCCAATAGATGTTGATTCTACCATCTTTCCTATATTTCGATGTCATTATTTTGATTATTTTTGATTCTTTTTGTATTGCATTTGTTATTCTTAAAGTCATTATATTTTATGTCAATCAATAACAATATGAAATCAAATTTTTTTTAATGTCTACCATGAATGACCAGGTAAAAGACCCGAGTATAGTACATGGTTGAGTGTTTATATATTGAAATGAAAATTTTAAAGAGTATGCTTATTTTCATTTCTAACAGGCTGTCTAGGTCGAAAAAAACAGCATTTTGTTATTGTAGATTTCTCAATTCGCACTCGGATATAGTAGGAAATCTATTGTGGATCTTTTATCCGGTCATTTACGGTACTATATAGATATGCGAAAGTCTAGCAGAACGAAAAAGGAGCAACTATCTAGAAAATGCTTCATATAATTAGTTTTTGAAATATATTGAACACTATTAAGCGGCTGAAGTATTGATTAATACAAAATAAGATTTCGCATGATCAACTGCAGGGGGATTGTATTAGTGAGAACAAGAATTCAGGTAATTGAAACATAATATTGATTCTGAAGTTCTTTTCAATACGGTTTTTTTTATTGATAGTCGTAAAAATTCTCCAATTTCTACGGTTCCACCGGCAATAACCACAAGCCATCAATTATCCGGAACTTCTTATTTGCCGCAAATTCCAAATTTAACTGATTGGTTTGAAGTAGGTGAATGATTTAAATCTAACGATATTCTTAGTACAACAGGTGCTTCTGATTCTCCATTAAATTCTTGGTATGATAATCAAAAGACTTCGAGTTGGCAAATGTTTTCCCGAAATAATCAATCACTTTCAAATACTGTTTACGCTTCTAAATACAATGTATCAAATCAGAACGATTTGAATAACCATACTATGATATGCTGTTGTATCCAATAGCAAGCTGGTTTTTCCTACGAATCACCTTTATGGATATATAATTTAATGAACGTCTGTTACTCTCAATTTTCATCCATCCGATTGATGCGTGACCACTTTTACTTTGTTACTTTGATGTTTAAGAATTTATTATTCTATACTTCATTCTATTGAATCAGTTACATTGGTTACATCAGTTATTCAAATAAAGTTTTTAGAAATAAATTCCATTCATACAACTTAAGCTCGTTATTTGTATAAACAACTACACTTTTACATAAAAAATTCATTGTACTAATTTTAGTATTTTGCTCTTCATTTAGAATTTTTTTTTATTGTACAAATAGATATTTCTTTTAAAAACAAAATGATCGATTTTTTTTATCATTTTCTTAATTTGTCTTTCAAGTTTTTTTTTTGTTGTACAGAATAAACAACAGACCTTATCATTGTTATTATTATTATTTGTTTTTTGATTATACATATTTTTATTTTTTTCACACATCCTTTTCTTATATAAATTCTATATTCTATATAGAAAATTTATATGGTACACAGGTATTAATTTTACTAATTCCTGAATTCTGTAATTTGAAATTCATGTAACATACCAACCAAACCAATTTTTACAAACAAAAATTATATTCAAAGTAATATCTATGTTCAAGACAATTATAATAAAATTATAAATTTATTATATATTAAAATAAATCTGTAAATTCTCTTACTACAAATAACTGAATAAAAAGTATAAATAATTCTATAAAAAAGCAACTCATAAACTTGACAAATATTTATTTTATTTATTTATTATATATAAAAAATTTTAAAAATTATAAAATATATATAAATCTTTATAAATCTTGACCCAGTATCACATATCACCTTTAAAAGAATAATAATAACTCTTGTAACATCTATTGTTTTTTACTGCTATACTAACAAAATATATTTAGTACTTGTACATGTAACCTTTGAGTTTACGATATACTAATTAATTAAATCTATATAAGATATATATTGTAATAAAAACTACTAATATGCATAGATTAGCAAAATTGTTAAATTTATTAATGAAAACTAGTATTCAAAAAACTGACTCATTCCATGTACCTACTAATTTTTTCTAACAATTTATACAATTTAATATTATTAAATAAAAAAATTAGAAGGTGTGACAACCTAGTGAAGTGGTCAGGTAGTCAACCCTCCAAGTGGTAGGTTGGGTGTTCAAATCCTATCAATGGTGAAAATTTGAATAATCACCTATGTAATATTCGTATTATGGCAACTGTTATTAATGATTATATTAGGATATTTGTAATGGTGGTCGCACCAGCATGACTGGCAGGTTATGGGGCATCCGTGCAATGTTGGAGTTACACAGAGGAATGCAAACTGACAAATCAGACAGTGCAAACACTAGATAAGTCCTTGTTGCTGTGTAAATCCGTTGAAATTGAGTAACAAGAAGTCCATTTGAGAAGATCTGAGTAGAGAGATAGCTGGATCTTTGATGGCCCTACTGTAAAGGCTAGCCTAGGGAAACGGATACCCAGATCTAGTACCTGGTCCTAGTAGCTGGATGGGCAAGAACCTCTGGGTTGGGAGTCTCAGAGGTACCACCAACTAGGCTGCCAGAACGAACTAGAGGAAAAGGATATCAGGCCGATCTGATATATCGATAAACTGGTCATAGTTCTACATGGGCTATCTGGATTGGGAGTTTGGTAAAAGGGTAGAGGAAAAGGCAGAGGTATACTAAAGTACTGGGGTTATGCTATAAAGTAGATGCTGGGGTCTAAGTGAACTTTACAAGGGCATAGCGGTTTAATGGTTAGCCCTGACTGCAAGTGTTAGTTCTGCCATAGCAATATCTAGATCAGCTGTAAAAATGGGTACAAAAGGCTCTGGGAGGTTTACCTCGAAGATAAATTAGTTCTAAGGTTGAGGATGATGATTTGGTACATCTGAGATAACCAGTGATATTAACACAGATTACAGGTTCAGAGGGTTTAAAGTGGAACATCCAAGCAGAAGTGTTAGATATGGCAATTGGTGAGGAACCTTTGGGCGGACTCCTTAAATAAGTAATATAGAAAAGTTACATATGTAGCCAATTGTACGCTCTTCTGTAGTGGTTCATTGAACCACAATACCAATAAGTGATTAATAAAAGTCAAAAGACCAAAGAGGTCACCTTAATACTAAAAAAAAAAAAAAAAAAAGAATATTAATAAAGCTGTTAATATTTTAAAAAAAAAAAAAAGAATATTAATAAAAAGGATGTAACAACTTAGTAAAGTAGTCAGATTGTCAATCTCCAAGTAGTAGGTTGGGTGTTTAAATCTTATCAATAATGAAAATTTGGATAATCACCTATGTAATATTTGTATTATAGCAACTGTTACTAATAATTGAGTTAAAATACCTGTAATGGCAGTTACATTAGCATGACTGGCAGGTTATAGAACATCTATGCAATGTTAAAATTATATAAAGAAATACAATCTAACAAATCAGATGGTGCAAATACTAGATAAGTTCTTATAGTTATATAAATCTATTGAAATTGGGTAACAAAAGTTTATTTGAGAAAACCTGAGTAGAAAAGTAGTTGGATCTTTGATAGTCTTACTGTAAAGGCTAGTCTGACGAAACAGATATCAAGGTCTAATATCTGATTGTATTAACCAGACAGGCAAGAACCTCTAAGTTAAAAATCTCAAAGGTATTATCAATCAGGTTGTTAAAATGAATCAGAAGAAAAGGATATTAGGCTGATTCAATATACTGATAAACTAGTTGTAGTTCTATATAAGCTATCTGAATTGGGAGTTTGATAAAAAGACAGAAGTATACTAAAGTACTAAAGTTATGCTGTAAAATAGATACTAGGAGAACTCTTTCTTAAAAATTTCAAAATTATAAGCAAAAAATAAAAAACAACAAAAGTTCGAATAAATAAAATAATTATATATAGACAAAGGTAACTACAATACATTACAGAGCACAGTACAGTTTAACATAAATCAAAATAAAGCATAAAAGAGAAGCAACATCAACAACAAACAAAACACCAAAGCAACAGGCGGCCTTTGGGCCAACCTTTAAATTTACAATCAAGACAGAACAAAAGCTTAAAATGGAAGGCTACAATATCAGAAGCAAAACTAATAACAATAGCAACAACACAAGTAAAAGAAAGAACAAAATAGATATAGTACATCTTAGTACAAAGGCAAAAAAACCTCATTCTGATATAGCTTCACCTTACAAAAAAGCAAAAAGTGGTGAAACCAGCATACCTTTGATAAAAACAAAGATGACATCACCACAAAACAACAACAACAAAACAAAACCAGTTCAAACTAGTTTCAATAACAATATAACAAAAATGGAAAGTGATAACAACAATCAACATACTGCAAACAACAACAATGGCAACAGCACAATTACATTAGCAAATATGAATATGCTAACAATCCAAAACAACATAATAAATCAAAGTGCAAATATAAATGAGTGTAACAACCAAGCAAAAACTACCAGAAATCAAAACATAAAAATAGTAGATAGTGACCAAATGAAAATAAAAAGTAACAGACAGCAACAAGACAGTAACACAACAGCAGAACAAGCATCATCACGAGCAACATACAGCCAAATAGCACAAAAAAATATAGTAAACAGAAGCAACACACAAAGCACAAAACAAAATGACTTTACAGAAGAATAGACACAAGAGATAAACAAAAAATTAGAAGAAGAGGTACATGAAGCATTTGACAAAACTACATGAAACTACGACAAAATAGTAAAAGCACTAAAAAATAAAGAAGGAATTTAAAACTTCATCAAATACAAAATGCAAACTAAGCTAACAAACCAGGCACTACATCTAGCAATTGAAAATAAGTTTAGACATAGAGATGCCACATTCTTTTTTACCTTTACTAGAGTAAAAAAATCAATGCCACAATACCAAGAAGCCTATAAAAACTTGTTCTAAGAAGCATTAAAGAAATATAAGCTAACTAACAAAATAACCATTACTAATAGAAAAAAAGATATTTAATTCACCAAAAACTATGACAAAAAATAATGATTGACTACCTAACCAATACAAAGTTCTATAAGATGTTGACAAAACAAATATTCTACTTTATCAAATATTACAAAAGATTCACCAAAGATAGAACTATAGAAAACAACTCAGACCTATACGAGATCATACAAAAAGCAACAACTGCTTATTTACAGCAATTACCAACAGACCCTAATCAAATTCCAACAAATATTATTCAAATACTCCCCTTCAACTTACCTATATGACACAAAGAATATATCAAAGCAGTTGTTGCAGTTTTATACAGAATATACCACTTTGATAAACTACCAAATACCTACTTTACATTACTAAAACCACTGCCTGACTCAGTGAAAGAATTAAATCCTAAATCAAACATCTCTTTCCAATTACAAAGAGAAGCCAATTAAGAGAACTTACAGATATAACAAGGCAACTAAGCAATTACTACTTCTTTAATAGAATCCCAAGTCACTATTTCAACCTATCATCTCCAAAAAAACTATTACCAGCAGCTTATCAAGATTTAGAGTCTACGTACAGACTTTACTTTTCTATAGACCCACAAGACCCAGATACAGATATTAAAGAAACAATTCAATTATTACAAGAAGATTATTTTTTTGAAAGATTACCCAATGACTACTTTCTAGCAAAGCCATATTTGCCTAAAGAAACTAGCAAAATCAAAACAACTGATAGTTTCATATATCCAATAACTGAAAAA